CTGTCCCATGGCCCTGCTTCCTCTGGTTACCTGGCTGAGGATTGGCTGACGCACCACAGCTATTACTCTTCCTGCCGCTTCACAAGGGCTTCTGGCCTGTGGCAGGTTGGCACTGCACGCCCACACTCCCGCACCCTGCTCTGTGCGAGCCGTCTGAGCAGCTGATGTTCTGCTGAAGAGCGTGGGGACTTCCTGGGTCTTCTGTCACCAGTTAGCTAACCCAATTCCAGTTAGCTTAAACGAAGCAAGGCTACTCAGTCCCAAGTCCCAGGCCACCCCTTGAGCTGTGCACAGCACCCCTGCAGACTGTTAGCAGGACTGGGAGTCAGGGCGCCCAGGAGTTAGAGGATGGTGCCCTCTTTCTTCTGTTAACTTCTGTTTCAATCTTGTTTCCATGTTTCCCTGCATCTTTTGATGATTAAATGAATTAACATTTGGGAAGTACCTTTACATCATAAATGCTATGTGTTCTTTAAAAGAAATGAGCTAAAACAGTTCTATGCCCTTACCCTGTGACACCCATAGAGGCCCTCAGAGGAGATCCACGGACCATGTGCTCAGCCTGGACCGATCCCTATGCCCAGGAGAATCGTTTAGATGCTGAGTAGACAGCTGAGTCATAGTGTATCCCTGGGGGAGGGTGGTGGGTCATGTTACTGAGCACCCCACCAGGGCGCATGAACACTTTCTTAACAAAGGAAAATGCAGGGAAGATTGCACTACTGGAAACTTAGGGTTGCCAGTCACCCAATTTCTCCCCCTTGGCCCCAGTGGCGGCAACAGGCGGAAGCTGAGTGCCGGCATTGCCCTGCTGGGAGAGCCTGTGGTCATCTTCCTGGACGAGCCATCCACTGGCATGGACCCTGTGGCCCGGCGTCTGCTCTGGGGCACTGTGGCACGGGCCCGAAAGTCCGGCAAGGCCATCATCATCACCTCCCACAGGTCCAACCAGGATGGGGGCTGTGGGCCAGGTGGGCCGGGAAGGGCTGGGTGGACAGAAGATCTCTCAGCCTCTGGTGAAGAGTCTGTGAGGCGAGTGGGCCACACCCTGCACATGGGAATCAGGAACAGCTTGATCTGGGCGTCAGCACTCTCCCAGGTGCATGGTTTTGACATGGAGGGCGGGCATCAGCATTCCCCAGTGCTATATCAGGCTCCGCCCCCTCTCCCCAGCATGGAGGAGTGTGAAGCCTTGTGCACCCGGCTGGCCATCATGGTGCAGGGTCAGTTCAAGTGCCTGGGCAGCCCACAGCACCTCAAGAGCAAGTTTGGCAGCGGCTACTCCCTACGGGCCAAGATCCGGAGTGACGGGCAGCAGGAGACACTGGAGGAGTTCAAGGCGTTTGTGGGCCTGACCTTCCCAGGTGTGTGCCACAGAGGGCGCCGTGCGTCTGTGCATCCCTGAGCACTGGGATGAGAATCACGATTCCGGGGCCAAGGCCACCCTCCCCTGGCCATCCAGCCTGGCCCTCAGGGGGACATGGTCTCTCCTTTGTGTAGGCAGCGTCCTGGAGGATGAGCACCAAGGGATGGTCCATTACCACCTGCCTGGCGATGACCTCAGCTGGGCGAAGGTGAGCACATACCTGGACATCAGGGAGCCCACCTCTGATGTTGTGCACTGAGTTCTCTCCAGTGGAAGTCCCAATTCAGCCCTGCTGCAACATTCATGTGAATTTCATAGAAAATGTTGATAAGAATATTTGAACTGGAAGGGACCTCAGAGATCAGCTCCTCCCGCCCCCTCATCTCACAGAGGGGAGCTGGCTCAAAGAGGGCACATGCCCAGGGCACACAGCAAGCCAAGACCCTGTGGGACCTCTGCCTCTGGCACCACTCCCAGCCAAGTCCCTTTCCCTGCCATCACAGACAGCTGAATTCCGCAGGACTGACTGCCTGAGAGGTGGTCTGGGAGCAGCTGAGAGAGGAATGGGCCTCTGGGGGCTGTGTAACACTCTCAAAGACCTTTCCTCTTCCCACCCCTTGCTGCGTCTGCCCCCGCTCCCCTGTGCCTGCCATCCACAGCGGCCCCTTCCTTCCCACAGGTGTTCGGCATTATGGAGCAAGCCAAGATGACATACATGTTGGAGGACTACTCAGTCAACCAGATCTCCCTGGAGGACATCTTCCTGAGCTTCAGCTGCCCTGTGCCCCCTGCCCAAGGGAGTAACAGACAAGAGAGGGCCAAGCCCGCAGACCTCGCGTTTCCCAGTCCACCTCTCTCTCCCTCTTCTTCCCAGCGACCGTCTCCACCTCCCACTCCACCCCCTACTCCATGTTCCTCCCAGCATTTCTCCCAGCCTCTCTCCTGGCCTCCCACTCCAATTCCCTTCAGGTCTTCATCCCAGCCACCGTCTCTGCCTCGCTCTCCACCTGCCTCCCAGCCTCCCTCACCACATCCCTCAAAGACTGCCTTGCTGTAATAAAGAGTTCCCTGTGCCAGGTTAGCCCGAGTGCACACAGCCTGCCATGGGCTGCAAGGCGTACAGAGGCAACCTGAAGACCCAGTAAGCTCAGCTTGGGGGTGGAGGGGTGGGTTGGCTTTCTGCCAGATTGAGGGCACCCGCCTTAGAGGCCTGGTGGAGAATCCAGGTCCATTTCTGTGGAAAGGGATCCCCTTGGATCACATATGAGTGGCCTGCAGCCTCACTGAGACCTGGCCATGGAATCAGAGGGACACCTGTCACATCCCTTCAGGAGCACGAAGGCCTGGGGGTGACCATGGCTGTAAGAGGGCCGTGCTTCTGAGCGCAGTGTAACAGGGCCGTGCTTCTGAGCACGGTGTAACAGGGCCATGCTTCTGAAAGTAGGAGGCAAGAGAAGTTTGCAAACCTAAGTCACCATTTTTCAATATTTCAATTTGTGTGGCTCCATCTGTTCTCTGCCCTGGCCCTAACACTAACCCTAACCTGTATGTGGCCCTCCATCAACCTGTGATGTAGTCATAATTATTATCCCCATTGCCTGGAAGAGTAAGCTGAGACCTAGAGACATCCCGCAACTTGCCACGGTCAGCTGATGGCAGAGCCAGGATTCACTTCAGGCAGAAGTTCTCAAGTGGGGTTCCTGACTGGAAGCATCCACCTCTTCAGAAACTTGTTAGAAATGCAGGTTCTTGCGCCCCACCCCAGCACTGTTGAATCAGAAATTTGGGGGGCGAGGTCCAGCAATCTGTGTTCTGATGCAGCTCGGGCCTGAGAGGCAGTGAGCGAAGGCTGTGAGCTGGGACCATCAAGCCTGAGTGTGGCCCTGCACTTTTGTCACAAGGGCCCTCCAAGAAGGGCCCGGGCACACAGCTTCTTCTCCAGCGTGGTCATGCCAGCCCCTCTCACAAGCCCCACTGGGCTCCTTTGCAGGTAGCCCTCTCCCTCCCTTCTAAGCCAAGCTCCGGGAGGGAGTGTGGTGTCTGCCGTCCCTGGCCCCACTTCCCACCCCCACGCAACATTCCCCAGAAGCACAGCCTATGTCCAGCTGCACACCCATCTTTCCTGTGACTGCTCAGAGCCTGGGCCTCTGCCTTGAGGATTCCAGCAACAAAGTAACAGTGCAGGGGGAGGACAACAAAGCACCAAGCTGGGAAACTGTAACCAGTGGGAACACAGATGTGGGAGAAAGGCTGAAAGCCCTCAGGCCCGGAGGATTCGCCCCTCCTCCCGTGTGGACAGGCACCAGGCTTGCTCTGCCCTACCCACTCCTCGTCTGCACACACCACCCCCACCTCCTCACCCCGGCTTCCTCATAGCTGGCTGTATCATCTGTTCACTTGTCTCCTACTCCAGACTGGCTTGGAGGCTTGGCACCTTGCCTCCTGTGTGTGTTCAGCTGCTGAGCACAGGAGTACCCTGAAGGAGTTTAGAGAGCAGCGTGAGGGGTGGGGGACAGAGCACAGTTTGAGGCCTCGGGAAGAGGGTAAGAAGAGAGCCTTGACCCAGGTTCCCTAGCTTCTCTGGGAAAAACCACTGTGTCCTCGGCCATCAAGCACTTCTCCCAGAAGTCGCATTTCTTTCCTTGTGAGAATGTCTCACTGGAGGAGGTGGGATGTGAGATGGTTCCTGAAAGACAAGACCCGGTGGGCACTGCCTGATACCTGGGTGAACAGAATGTTGCCGCCACTAAAGCAAGCAGGTGTGCTCTTCGGTTTTAGTGGGCTCCCAATTGACCGCGAGGATATGTTGAGGACTGACAAGGTCCGGGTGAGACGGTGAGGGCTTGCCCTGGGAGGGATGGAGGAGGGGTCCAGGGTGAGCCACGTTTCAAGGGAAGGAGTCAGACGTGCTGGATGAGTCAGCCAGGTCTGTTTCTGCCCTGTGATCTATGCTAAGAGCGACGCAGCAGAGAACTAAGGGTCTCCTCGCCTGAAGCAAGGACGGGAAGCAGGGCCTGCGGCCTCAGGGTGCGGGCCACTAAGGTCATGGGCAGCCTCGGTGAGGTGCCTCCCGCGGGCGCTCGCTCGCCTGCGTCCACGCAGGTAGAAGACCGCGTCGGGGTCCGCGCTCAGAGACCCCGGACTCGGAAGGCGCGGCCGGTCCGCTCAGAACTTCACTGACAACCCACTGTGCGCCACAGGCTCCGGTCGCCGTGACCTCTGCCGCCGAGTGAGCGGCAAGGCCAAATCCCAGAATAAGGAATGTCAACTCGGGCCGGAGCGGACCCACGAACTCCACTGCCAGCTGCCCGGGAGCCGCGCTCCTTTAGACCCCAGCCCGTACAGGGGAGGCGGGGCGGCCGCGCAGGCTCCACCAATCAACAGCCCGCGTTCGAATTCGCATCCTGGAGCAGCCAGTCGCGGGCGCCCGATGCCGAGGGGGCGTGGCTTGGGGCGGAGCCCGGCGGGGTAGTGGCGCGCGCCCCCCGTGGTGGGCCAATGGGAACGCCCGGCGCGTTTGAAAACTCAGGCGGGAGGCGGGCGGGTCTGCGCCTGCGTAGGGAGGCGCGCTCTGGGCCCGCTGGCGGGTCTGGCGGCTACAGCGGCGGCGGCGGCCACGGCAGCGGCGACGGCTATGGGGAGCGGAGGCGGTGAGCGCGGGGCGCGGGGCGCGGGGAGCGGTGGAGCGGCCTCCAGGCTGAGTGGGGCCAGCTTGAGCCTTTCGGCCCGGGGTTCGGATCGTCCCGACGGCGCCTGCCCGGCGCGCGGTTTAAATACCCAGCGGCGCCCGGCTCCGCGAGAAAGCGACGCGAGGGGACCGCCACCTGTGCAGGGCTGTGAGCGCCGCCGAGGTTTCCGTGGTTGTACCGTGGCTGTCCTAGGGCAGGGGGTGAGGAAAATGGGGCAAAAGACAAGGATCGGTCGAGCTGCGTATGCGCTCGGCTTTCGCATTAGGTTAATTACTGATGGGAAGCCCGGGTGAGGAACGAGGGAAGAGGGCAGGAAGACGCCCTGAGTAGGGAACTTGCCGGTGGTGGAGCAGCCACCTCCCGTGGGGACTGGAGGAAGAGGCGGATGAAGAACCGGGTAAAGCGTCAGAGATGGCTCCTTCTGCCACAGGCTCCTCTGCTTGGAGGGAGAAAAGAGTTGCTGGAGTTGAAGTTGAAGGACCCCCTGTCAGGGTCTCAGAGGACCTTGAGACTGGCTGGACAGCTCTGACATCCACAGAGCTGGGACTGGCCTGCCCTCCAAGTCCACTCTTGGCTTCTCTGCAGGACGGACCCTCGGAATTTGAACTCGAAAACCAGATTGTTCAAATCCTTATTAACATTTCATGTTTTAGTCATGTGTGCAAATAGAAGCAAAGAAATCAGCTAGGGTCCAGGCGTCTCCCTGGCTCTGCTCTTCTTTCTTCCTTGTTGTTATCTGGGCTGTGGGTCAGATGGTTTCCCAATGGCCAGGTTACATGATTACTACTCACCATAAACGTTTATCAAATATTTGAATGAATGAAGATGTCTCTTATACCACTAACACTTATTTATTTAATCTTTGGGACTGTAACTATGGCTGGGGCAGAGGACCAGTAACTGTTAAAACATGTTCAGGTGTAACTTTTCATATCAGCACAATTCATTTCCAACACATCACTTAAACCATTCCAATTTTTTTTCTTAAGTGATCCACTGTAGGTGTGCCAAGTGTTTCTGTTATCCTTCAAAGCGGAGAATAAGAAGGAGACCTCGAAACCTCACAATCTTGAATCTCCCTGAAGATGCACTCTTTCATATCCTGAAATGGCTTTCTGTTGGAGATATCCTCGCTGTCCGAGCTGTAAGTTGTCAGATGAACACAGTGTCAGCCCTGACATTGTTGGTTTTACCACGAAGGCTTCATGTCTTAAATGTCAGAACAAAAACTCTGGCTAGCAATGGGGGTAGATGATCCACAATGGTGATGTTGGTAATAGACATTTGAGATTGTTCTGATGACAGGAAAGCAAAAATGTAGGACACCGAGGTTTGAGTCTGCTCTTTGCAGCGTTTATTTTAACAGATAAAGTACCTTTTCCTGGCAGTGAAATTTGAATCCCTCAAGAAATGAAACAGTATTAAGAAGAAAAAGTATGTTCTTGAGGATAGTGTGAAGTAGAAGTGTTGGTTGTTCAGTTGTGTTCAACTCTGTGATCCCATGGACTATAGCCCACCAGGCTCCTCTGTTCATGGCATTCTCCAGGCAAGAATACTGGAGTGGGTAGCTATTTCCTTCTCCAGGGGATCTTCCTGAACCAGGGATTGAACCCTGGCCTCCTGCATTACAGGCAGATTCTTTACCGTCTGAGCCACTAGAGAAGCCCTCATGAGGACAAAGCCCATATAATATCCAGTGCTGAAAGGGACTCTGGGCCTTATTGTGTAGATATCAGAACTGCTGCCTCATCCTAAGCCACTTAACCAAGGGCATCCAGCAAATTAGTGCGGGAACACCCATAAGAACCCATTTGTCTGACTCCCAAACCTGCCTCCATTGCATTCATAACATCTGCAGGTGCCATTTCCAGTGGCAGTGGGAGCTTTTGCACTTAAAATGCTTACCTGTGCTCAGGGCCCCCGGCCTGGACACCGCCTGCCCTCACCCAGGGCAGAGGTCCCGCCTGAGGCTGCTGCCATGTGGTTCAGTTTTTCCTGAGTGCCCCCATTGACCCCCAGGTTCCAGCTGTGCTCCCACTAGCAAAACTCTAAGTAGAGGAGCTAAAAACAGATTTCTGACCTACCCGTTAGCCTCAGAGTTGGTTTCTCTGGTCGTTGCAGGTATATAGCATTATATCCCGTTTCTCAGCCTGGTGTTTACCCCCACTTCCAGGACCTGTCCCCACCTTTAGAACCACAGAGCAAGTTGTGTCTGATTTCTTTTCTCTGTTCAAAGCAACTGCTAGTTACTGTGATACACAGAGCCCGGGAGGCCTTACTGGTAGGGTCGGAGGGAGACAGGAGACCCTACGTCTTCAGGAGCTCCAGAAGTGGGGCTTCCCTGTAGCCCCTTGATAACCCCCCACCCCACTCCCATTGTTCCTCAGGTACATTCCCACCTGAAGTACTTGGTGGACAACCATGCCAGCGTGTGGGCATGCGCCAGCTTCCAGGAGCTGTGGCCTTCTCCAGGGAACCTGAAGCTCTTTGAAAGGTATCTGCACCCGAGAGCAGCCGGGCTTCCTCTCACTCCTGGCCTTCCCTGCCGTGCCAGTCTGTCTCAGGACGGGACTTGGCCACAATTTTCCTTGTGCTCGTAGCCCCCTGTCAACACCACATCCTCTAGGGAGTGACTGAGCATGTAGACCTCACCCATTGAGTCACACGACTTCCAGCACGGTCATGGGTCATCCGCACCCCCAGCACAGGCCTGCCACTTATTAGTCACAGTGGTGCTTCCAGAAGGTCCGCGTAGGCTGTGACCCATCCCGTGTGGCTCAGATGCAGGTCACCTGCACGTGGAAACTTCTTATTTCTCTTACTTTGGTCAGGACCATGTGGTCTGAATCCTAGTGCATTACACTCCCTGGCTGATCCCACCCCCTCCGACTGAGACCTGGAGGAAGAGCCAGAGGGGCCAGGAGTCACACAGTGTGCCCGTGGTCACAGGCAGGCTGCCTGAGACATAGTCACGAACCATACAGCCCACCCACTTAGAGTGTACTGATCAAGTGGTTTTTTAATATATTCACGGCGTTGTGCAATCATCTACACTGTCTGACTTTAGGACCTTCTTGTGACCCTTGGATGAAGCCGCATAACCATTCGCAGTCCCTCCCTATCTTCCCAATATTAATCCAGACCCTAGACAACCTCTCATCTACTGTCTGTCTCCATGCATTTGCCTGTCCCGGGCATCTCATGTGAGCGGGGTCACACACCGTGTGGCCTGTTGTGACTGTCTTCTTTCGCTTAAGCGTGTTTTTAAGCCTCATCTGTGATGTAGTGTGTCGTGGATAATAGATGTTTAGTCATTACCAGAAAAAAGCTTCTGTTCAGAAAGTAAGTACTGTAGTTTCAGGTGCTGTGGTAGAACATAACCTTAATAGAATAAAATCATGCAGTGTTTCATGTTCCTGTTGTTCCAGGGCTGCTGAGAAAGGGAACTTTGAAGCTGCCGTGAAGCTGGGCATTGCCTACCTCTACAACGAAGGCTGTAAGTGCTGCTGGGTCTGGGGCTGGCCTCGCCCCACTTGGCGTTGACACTTTAGAACAAGCGCTAGGGACTTCCCTGGTGGTCCAGGGTTAAGACTCCAAGCTTCCAGGGAACTCAGATCCTACATGCGTTACATTGCAGTCAGAAAAAAAAAGAAAGCTAGAACTCACACAAGCCCATGCCCGTGTTAGCAGTTTAGTCGCTGCTCTCGCCGTGTCTGGCTGTGTACCATTGTATCTTGGGAGCTTGTGTCAGAGAGGCGTCCTGCTCAGGGACCCATTGATGAGCTTTGATTCTGTAGGTCGGGAGGTCACCTCTTACTTAACGAGCCTTTAATTTCGATTGACAATGAGTGGCTTTGAGTAGAGACTCGGAATGGGGGCTTCTCAGGCGAGCTAGCCCTCCCGGCTCCCTAGTTAACACCGTAGCCCACAAGTAGACCCCAGCTTCTCTCCTTGGCCACAGCTCATCTGAGGGACTTAGGACGGCAGTCACAGCATGCCTGATGCCTGGTGTCGGTAACACAGGGAGGGAGCCAAGGCCCTCGGTGGGAGGCAAGTTCAAACAGGCCAAAGGCAGCCTGGTACCTAGATTCCTTCTAGGTACCTGCTGGGCTCACGAAGGAACCTCATCCTGGTTCCTCCTGCAGGCAGGAACCAGCCTGCACCTCATCCTGTCCCAGCTCCCAAAACACATAAAGTCTTGAGTACCTCCACCATTTTTCTGCTTCTAAAAGACCTGGCATCTTGCTGAGAGGTCGCCCCAGTCATAGTTGGTTGACTGGACTGTTGACGTGGAGACGATGAGCCATCCTGTGCCCACCCTCCCGTCATCTGATCATCTCATCATCCAGGCTTTGCCCAGAGAATTCCCACTGTTCAGCTCACCCATCCAGTTGTACAGCCCAGTCGGTGTCTTCAGAGCTGTGCGACCAACACCACTCGTTTTGAAACGCTCTTGTCACCCCAGAAAGAAGCCCCTGCTAACCGGGGGCTGGGTGGCAGTCACCCACAGGAGGGTGGGCCTGTGATACCTCCATGGGGTGGGGGGTGGGGGGCACCTTCCTGGATGTTCAGACTCCAGGCTGTGGGAGGGGCCACAGGGCACTTGGTTCACAAAACACAGGAAGAAAAGCATGGAGCCCCATTCCGGCTCTTCTGTCCTAAAACACCAGCAACCTCGCGTGGCAGCGGCCTAAGGCCCTAGACTTTGCGAAAGCACTGGGGGCACCGCTGTGCCCGCCCCCAGACATCCTGGCTCACTCTGTCCATCTTTGCAGTGTCAGTGTCTGACGAGGCCCGGGCGGAAGTGAACGGCCTGAAGGCATCTCGCTACTTCAGCCTGGCGGAGCGGCTGAACGTGGGCGCCGCACCCTTCATCTGGCTCTTCATCCGCCCGCCTTGGTCGGTGTCCGGGAGCTGCTGCAAGGCCGTGGTTCACGAGAGCCTCAGGGCGGAGTGCCAGCTACAGAAAGTGAGTCCCGGCACGGGGTGCGGGTGGGGTACCCCACAGGGTCCCAGGAGAGGAGACGGCCCTGAGGGGAGATGCTGTGGACCTCGTGAAGTCAGGGACTTGAGGGCAGCGGAGGCTCCGAAAATGGGAGCGTCTGCAAACAACCAGCAGGCGGGGAGAGGTCAGAGCCAGGGTTGGGGGCCTGCGGGCGGGGCGGGGCTGCAGACTGCCCGCGGAGAGGGACGGTGCCCGCGGAGAGGGACGGTGCCCGCGGAGAGGGACGACCAGAGGCTCCATGACGCGGTTGGCGAGGCCGGCCGGGGAGCAAGAGGACCTGCACACAGGGGTGCGGCGGGGGTCGGCGGGCCCCAGGAAGTCCCCCACTGACGGTCACCCTTCCTTCTCTAGACCCACAGGGCGTCCATACTGCACTGCCTGGGAAGGGTGCTGAGCCTCTTCGAGGTGAGTCCCCCCGCCCGCCCCCGTGCTGCTTGGCGTCCTGGCCCGGGTGGGCACGGAACAGCGGGTCTGCGGCTCTGTGCTGCTCGCCTCTCCGGCAGCTGCAAGCACTGAGGACTGGGACGCTCACGAGAGGCCGCGGGAGGGGGCCAGCATGTCTCCCAGCCAGGAGGAGCCTGTCTGTGCGGCCAGTGGAGCCAGAGCGTCTGATGGGCAGGACGGCCCCCGTGCTTCCCTACTTCTCTGGGCGGCTCCCTCCGCCTCCTCTCACCGCCATCTCCACTTAGCACTAGTGTGAAAGGGGCCCCAGCAGCAGTTTGGGGAGGGCAGTGGCCTCTGGTGACAGGCGCTCTGACTGCAGCGGGGCGGGATGCGGGGTGTGAGCGAGGAGCCAGAGGGCCTTGGGGATCTCCACCCGCCCCCACCTCCGTCACCGAGCGGGCAGCGCTGGGCCAAGGCCAGCCCAGCCCCAGGCAGGAGGAGCAAGGCCCGAGGGAAGAGCTCGTGGGCTCACACCACCTCGGTTCTCACATGGCGTATCTCCAGGGAAGTTGTTTTTCCGCTAATTTAGTTGACTCATTTTGTTAAAGGTGAGCACTGCATGTGTGGTTACTTATTCTAGGATGAAGAGAAGCAGAAGCAGGCCCGGAACCTGTTTGAAGAGTCCGCTAACCAGGGGTGTCTGACCAGCTCTTACCTCCTCTGGGAGAGTGACAGGCGGATGGATGTGAGTGGGCCTAGGTCTGGGAGAGCGAGGGTGACGCAGGCCAGAGGCTTGGTCTCAGAGCAGCCCTGGACAAGGGTCTACCAATGCAGGGGGTCCTCCTGGGGCCCCCGGGGCTGCTCTCAGCTCCACCCTGGGAACGACCACCACCACTTGGGGCAAGAAGGGCCAGAAAGAAGGCCCAGCTGGGGCCCCTCTGGGGGTCTTGGGGGAACATTGAAGAACCCTGGGGGTTGGTTCTGAGTTCCTGCAGAGACATGCCCATGTAAGGGCATCTCACATTGACAGATGCTGGACCCCGGACGGTGCCTCCACAGCTTCCGGAAGCTCAGGGACTTTGCTGCCAAAGGCTGCTGGGAAGCGCAGGTAAGCTGGGAGCCAGCTTGGTCCCAGTGCCTCCTCTCTGGGACCTGGGGAGGGGCTGCCAGGCTCCCGCGGGGGGCAGTGGGGGGTCATTGCAGGGCAACTCTGAGGGTGGTCATCTCTGAGGTGTGCAGGGAGGGCAGCCTTGGAACGCTTTGCCCATGGCACTGAAGACAGCCAGCCTCGTCATCCCTACGTGCTGTGGACTAACCACAGCTTTTGTCAGTGTGGACAGCTCCCTAAAGCAGGCCTGCGGGGACAGCATCTTGGCAGCGGGACCTGAGGCTCCTTAGAGCAGGTTGGCGTGAGGAACGCTATCCTCTTCCCAGTATCTGACCCCTCACCAGGTTGTCCAGCGTTGGACCTGGACGTTGGAGGGTTGTAGTTGGCGTTCAGCAGACACTGTCCCTGTGCAGCTGTAAGGAAGTCACTATTTCCAGACAAACCAGAGGAAGTCCCCGTTGGCCAAGCTGGTGCCTGTGACCCCATCAAGTTGGGGCTTCAGTCACTGGCCCTTAAAAACTTGGGACAAAGTCCGCAGCAGGGATGCCCACCTGCCACATGACAGGCCACTATAATGTTTGTGTCCAGGAAGGCACGCAGCACATTTACGAGAAATGTAAGGATCAACAGTGTGTTGCTAAGACAAGGTCAGACTGATGAGTAAGAACAGTAAGGCCCCATAGGAGTACACGGGGCCTCAGTATGCTCAGAAATGAGCAAGTAAATACAAGCCGTCAAAATACGGGGCAGGTTTGACCTCACTGCTCATCGGAAAGGTGCCCGTTCAGAGAGGTCATGGCTGATCCCACGAGCAGATCACACACATGTATTCTTTGCTTCTGAGTGGCTAGCTAGTAACTTCTGAAAACAAACATTCTCAGGGAGAGCAGTTTGGGCCGGCCAAGATGTGATAAGATAGTCTTCGGTGTTCCTGTGAGTGGGGGTGACAGTCCAAGCAGGCCTTCCAGAAAGCGTCAGGGCACAGGCAGCGCCTGGGGGTCGGCCACACGAGCAGAAGGCGCACAGGCCTGCGCAGCGGCGGCCCCCCAGGTAACAAAGCCGACAGAAACCCCCTCAGAGGAAGAGCAGGGCGAGGAGGGGCCGACCTCCCGTTCTGTACCTTTCATCCCTTTTAAACGTTCTACCGTGACTTACTAGTTACTTCCAAAAACATAAGTGAAATCATGGCCCTCCTGTTCCGGCAGGCTTAGAGGGTGTAAGTGGGCCAGGGTGTTGACAGACAGGATGGCCCTGCCCCTGCTCACCCCACGACTCTTCCGCCTGCAGCTGTCTCTAGCCAAAGCCTGTGCACACGGACACCAGCTTGGATTGGAAGCAAAAGCCTCCAGCGAGATAGTCTGCCAGTTGTTCCAGGCTTCCCATGCTGTCAATAAGCAGAGGGTCTTCTCTGTCCAGAAGGGGCTCAATGACACGATGAGGTGAGGGGCCAGAACTGCCCATGGTGACGAGGTCCTGTGACAGGCCCACCGGGATCCCCCCTGCTGTGTACATGTACATGCATGCACATGTGTGTGTGTGTGTTTTCTAAAACCAGTAACGCCTGAGTTATCTAGGGCTTTGGGAAAAAAAGAAAACTCCCATATGAGTGTCTGTTCTCTCCAGTTTCCCTTTTTAAGCCTCAGAAAGTGTTAAACCATTTTAAACATCTTTCTAAAATGATGCCAGAAAAACCACCTTTTTTTTCCCAACCCATCCTCATGAGCATCAGCATCAGCAGGGGAAGTGGGGGCCTGCAGCCTCGGAACCCCGTGACCTGCCTCTTTCCGCAAGTCCATTCTCCTCTGAAGTTTGGAGATGACACACTGTTACAATCACAGAACATATTAGAAAGCAAAATGGAAAATGTGAATAATTTTTCAAGCTTATGCTAGGGATCTCGAATGCGTTTTAGATGTGTAACGGGCAGGCCCTGGCTGTGCTGCTACCTCTCGCTCACAGCAGGGGGGCAGTGTCCCCTGCTCCCACGTTAAATGTCACCAAGCTGCTGTACCTTTTTTCTTTTTATTTGATTAATTTATCTGGCTGCACCAGGTCTTAGTTGCAGCATGCAGGACCTCTTCGTTGCAGCACGTGGGATCTAGTTCCCTGACCAGGGATTGAACCCAGGCCCCCTGCACTGGGAGCTTGGGAGCTCAGAGTCGCAGCCACTGGGCTACCAGGGGAGTCCCAAGCTGCTGTGCTCCTAAGTCGACCTGCCGCAGTGGTGCTCCTCCCGCCTTGTGCCCTCCCAGTCTTTCCGTTTTTTGGCGGGGGGGTAGGGGGCACTGTTGCTCTTCCTTTTGTGTGTTGGGAGTGAGGGTTAACATAAACAACCTTTTTTGCTTGTCAAAAGCTAAAGTAGTTTTATTGAAATAATAACATAATATTATTTCAGCCACAAGTTTAGCATTTGTCTGTTTTCCTCCATGTCAGACAATAGCCAACTTCTTCCTTTTCTTTAGTTATAATTGATTTCCAACATTATTTTCGGGTTTAACCACTTTAAAGTGTGTGGTTGGATTGGTCGGTTTTTGTCAGGTCATTGTGTTTGTCCAGGGTGTCCTCGCAGGGAGCATCGTCCTCTGCTCCCAGTCGTGGCTGGTGTGGCCCTCACACTCCTGGGCGCTCCTCCCGGTCGCCCCCTCCGCTCCCCAGCTCACTCTGCCCTCACCCGTCTGCGCCTTCCCTCTGCCTGTGAAACACGCTCCTGTCTGGCTGCCCACCTGGAGCCGCCCTCCACCTGCACAGAGCCCCTCGCCATCACGGCTCGTCCCTCTGGCTTCTGTTCTCCCATCTCCCCTCTGTCCACTGTGCCCGGGCATCCTTGCCACTGCGTGCAGTGTCCCCTGTGGTGTCAGGGTCCCGGCTTGGCCTTGGCGCTGTCGAGGAGGAGGGACCCCGTGTCTGCTCGCCCTGCAGCCCGAGCCCTCCATCGTGGTCGCCTGGTGGCTGAGAGCTCAAGCACCCGGGCTCAGTGCATCCTGCTTGGGCTGCATTCCTGGCTCTTTGCTCAACCGCAGGGGGTTGTGACAAATGACCCCATGGTGAGAGTTCATGGAGGAGACAGGTTTCCAGGATGGTAACCTTTCACCTGTGACCTGTCCCCAGTCTCCAGAGCAGACCCACTCTGCCCCTTTATAAGTGATGGTCCAAGTTTATCCAGTGCCAGGGGGCCCCCGGGTGGGGGTGGGCAGGGTCCACCTGTGTGCGCCCACCTGCCTCCCAGGAACCAAGTCAGGAGTGGTGGGGCCCCCACCCCCTTGGACGGCTGCTGGCATAAGCCCGTGACGCCTGAAGTGACCGCTCACCCCTCGGGATGGATGGCTGGGCGGGACTGGGAGACAGGACCCCGTGGAGGTTTGGGGAGCGGGAGACAGGACCCTGAGGTTCAGGGCCCCGCAGAAGCTCTGCCTGGTGTTCAGGGCCCCGTGGAGGTTCGGGGAGCGGGAGACAGGAACCCATGAGGTTCAGGGCCCCGCAGAGGCTCTGCCTGGTGTTCAGGGCCCCGTGGAGGTTCGGGGAGCGGGAGACAGGACCCCGTGGAGGTTCGGGGAGCGGGAGACAGGACCCTGTGGAGGTTCGGGGAGCGGGAGACAGGACCCTGTGAGGTTTGGGGCCCTGCAGAGGCTCTGCCTGGTGTTCAGGGGCAGCACTCTTCCCACAGGTACATCCTCATCGACTGGCTGGTGGAGGTCGCAACCATGAAGGACTTCTCGAGCCTGTGTCTCCACCTGACCGTGGAGTGCGTGGACCGGTACCTACGGAGGCGGCTGGTGCCCCGGTACCGGCTGCAGCTGCTGGGCATCGCCTGCATGGTCATCTGCACGCGGTGAGAAACCCCTGGCCAGCCCTGCCTAGGTCACAGGCTGGCTTCTCAGTGGGACGAACAGGCCTTCAGCACCCCACCTCATGATAACGGGGCTCTAATCTCAGGGGTGCCCAGAGCAGGTGGTCCTCCCCACACGGGGGCAGCAGGGCTGACCCTCCTTGCGCAGGCAGCCACTGTTCATCCCCTGTGGTGGCCTTTCTTGGGCAGGAACTGTGTTCCCCTGGCCCCTGAGGGCAACATGGAGATGCGGGAGGCTGCAGTTGGCTGCCCTTCCGAGTCAGGCTGTCAGCTCTGTGTCCAGAGACCCACGTCCAGCCAGGTTCACACCCCCTCCTACCCCGGGGACAGGATGCGGGCTCCTCAGAGGTGGCTGTTCTGACTCTTCCCGTCAGCCGTCTTAAGTTTCACGAAAGTCCACCTTCCTAAAACCAGCACTCCTCCACCCAGTTTTGCCTTTGGACACAGTGTGGGTGGCATGTCCCACCACACATGTTGCTTTTTTGTGTGTTTTAAACCAGCTTTCTCCTACATGGCCTGCCATCGCCCGGGCAGTGCCTGTCTTTAAGGCGTAGCGGGTGAGGGGCAGGCTCGCTGCACACAGTGGTGTCAACTATGGAGGACTGGTCTATCTTTGACACAGTGACCCAGAGGTGTGTGTCACTGGAGTGTAGTGTATCTGCTTCATCAGCTCATGCAGGCGCCCGAGGCCCTGACTTGCTCTCTGCCACTTGCCATGGCCCCTGAGGCCACCCGGTCCACGCCTGCAGCGTGCTCCGTCCTGTGGCCCTGATGGGAACTGGGCACTGTGGTTTCCTGGTGGCCAGGGAAGCAGGGTGTCCACAGGCAGAGGGAGCGGGGCTCAGGCCACACGCAGTCGGGCACCTCTCACACGTGTCTCAGAACCCGGAGCTCCGGGTCTTGTCACCAGAGAGGGCAGGACAGGTAGGTCCTCAGCCTCCCCGGGTCTAAACGGCATGGTTACGTCCTTGCCATCAGAGACCAGGGGACCGGCCGTGAGATAACTGCTTTAAAAGATTTTTAGGGGCTGAGACACCCCTCCGTCCACTCTGCCACTGCCTGAGCACAAACTCACATCCACCCCTCTCGACGTCACTGCACCCCGCACCTATGGTCCCCACTGCTCTGTCCTCTCTCAGCCAAGCCACCGCGGGAGCTACAGAGTGACTGAGCGGCTGCGGGCTCGGCCCCCATCACCCTGGTGCGGGGAGGGGCCCTCAGAGGCCGCCAGACCAGCGTGTCCCTTGCTAGCTGGCGCTGGGAGAGAGGCGAGAACAGGGTGACCACCTGCCCAAGGACCGCCCAAGTCCCTCTGCCTGACCCTGGGCCGGGTCCAGACCTCAAGACAGCCTTTGGCTCTGGTTCTGCCAGCTCGGCTGCCTTCTGGGTTGAAGTTGTTCATGCTCGCTCCGGAGCGGCTGGCACAAGGCAGGGCAAACCCTCATCCCTCAGGAGATTAAGACGATTGGCCACTCACACCCTTCATGGCTGGATTTTGCAGAAACACCTGCATGCCCAGCAGCCCAGCCACTCTCCTGCCACAGGTCTGTGGCACTCATACCCCTGCCCCTCAGCCTCTATGACAGGCTCACGTGACCATTCCAGTTAACCTCACCCGCCGGGGGCAGCCAGGTCAACTCGTTGGACTCCCCACCCCATCACTGAAGCCTGAAGCCCGCCGAGGGGCGTGAGCTCAGACCCCTTGTTGACACTCCAGGTTCATTAGCAAAGAGATCCTGACGATCCGGGAGGCCGTGTGGCTCACAGACAACACATACAAGTACGAGGACCTGGTGAGGATGATGGGCGAGATCATCTCGGCCCTGGACGGGAAGATCCGGGTAAGCAGCCGCTTGCCTTTTCCTCCTGAATCGAAGCCGAGTCGCACCAGGGGGTGGGAGGAGCAGAGGGCACGTGCATGGCTCTGGGCTTCTCTGCTCAGGGAAGCCCTCCAGGACCCAGAGGGCACAGGCCACAGCCACTCGGCATGCCCAGCGAGTGTGCTGGCCACTAGGAGGGCAGCGTGTCTGCAGTGCAGCCTCCCCCGAGTGGGCAGAAGGGCCCTCTGCATGCCACGACCCCACGCCCACTGCCCTGTCCCGCCAGGTCCCCACCGTGGTCGATTACAAGGATGTCCTACTGACGCTGGTCCCCATGGCACCAAGAACCCAGCACTTGTGCGGCTTCCTCTGCGAGCTCTCCCTGCTGCATACCAGCCTGGCTGCCTACGCCCCGGCCCACCTGGCTGCGGCTGCCCTGCTGCTGGCAAGGCTGACACACAGGCAGAGTAAGCAGCCGGTCCTTCCCGCCCGCCTCCCAGAGCCAGGCTGAGCCCGCAGGCGAGGGTCTCCGGGAGTCAGGAGCTGGTGCTTGGGTCCGGGGGAGGGAGGGAGACAAAGCAGCGTGCTCCTCTCTCCTGAGGAGGAGGCAGCAGGATAGACTAAGAGCCCTTGTCTGGGGGTGGCTTGGTATTCCCCCCGCAGGGCGCAGCGGGCATGCGTGCCCTGGGTACAGGGCCTTTACAGCGCTGAGCCCTAGGAATCTCCACCCCAGAACCACTGGGGCTGTGGGCGTCAAGGCGACCCCACGACCCTCACTTCCCTCCCCAGCGCAGCCCTGGACCACCCAGTTGTGGGACCTCACTGGCTTCTCCTGTGAAGACCTCATCCCCTGTGTCTTAAGTCTTCATCAGAAGTGGTAAGTGTGTAAGGAAGCGAGCCCCACACACAGGGTACATCCTCCACGCCGTGGGTCCAGAGGGGGCTCATGTCACAGGCGGGCTGTCGGGCCATGAGTTGCAGGTCTCAGGGTTGGCGTTTAGAAGCCCCAGGGCCATGTTGCTTAGCGCACATGGTTTTAACGTTTGCTGTGTGGGCAGCAGCTCCTCCCCACCCAAACCTAACTCCACAGACAGTACAGCATAAGAAAAGGCGGTGGTGACTCACTGCAGGAGGCTGGCATGGGCAGACTGCAGCCCGGGCACAGGCCGGCCGCGCCTGCCTCAGGCGCTCAGCTCTGCCCCTCTCATCTCACGCCAGCTGGCAGCCGCGCTGCTCCCACTCGGTCCCACCTGCACTGCGTGCTCTGAAGCCCCCAGGGCCCCCCTCCTTTCTCAGGCCACGCGGCCTCAGCATCCCCTTCCCCCACCCAAGGGGCAAGGTGATTCTGCCTCCCTCCTACCTTCCCCTAGTTTTTTTGTTTTTTCAATCCAGACAAACTGGAAATATTTATTTACAAATGAAACTTTTTTTAAGTGTGCAGTTCGACAGGCTTTTGGTATAGAGTTGTGCAGGCATCACCACCATGAATCAGAGAACATCTTCTCCCTCAAAGAAACCTGCCCTGCCTCCCTAATACCTTCAGGTGTTCCCTCCCCACCGGCCCCCACCCCACAACACTCCTCTCCTTCCTGTTCTGGACGCTTCATCACGGGCTCACGCACCATGAGGCCTGTAGGTGTGAGCGGCCTCCCACCTGCATGGTGTCTCCACTGTGCAGGGAGCCCCCAGGCGGAGAGGCCCCGTCTTACTTCTCCATCTCTGCACTGATGGACGTTTGGGGGTTTTCTGCCTCCCCACTGCTGTGGACGACTGTGTCCAGGTCTCTGCGGGAACCTCTGCCCCCCTTTCTCTCGGGGACACACCTGGGAGTGGGCGCTGGGTCATAGGCACCTCTCGGGTTAACTGAGGGACTGCCGGGCGTCTGCACGGTGGTGCTGGGCCCGCTTCGAGGACGTCAGGTCCTCTCCCGTCTGAGCAGGGGCTGCAGGTGGAGCCTCCTGGGGGCGGTGCCAGCACTCCCCGCCCCCCGCGGTCCCTCACGTGTCCATCTGTCTGTCGGTAGCTTCCACGATGACGCCCCCAAGGACTATAGGCAGGTGTCTCTCACTGCCGTCAAGCAGCGATTCGAGGACAAGCGCTATGAGGAGATCAGCCTGGAAGAGGTACCAAGGGTTGCCGGTGGCGGGCCCGCCCGCCCGGGGCCTTGCCACCCTCTGACCGTGGCTCCCCTGCAGGTGCTGAGCTACGGCCAGCTGTGTGCCGCCCTGGGCGTGAAGCAGGAGAGCCCAGAACCTGCGCCTTTCCTCAGCGCAGGTGATATTCACGCCTTCCTCAGCTCGCCCTCTGGGAGGAGGACCAAGCGGTAAGTGAGCCCGCGGGCCCAGCTGGGCTCCCGTGTGACCCCTGCAGCCTTTGGGGATCCCCCAGAAATGGAAGCTGGACCGGTGGTCTGCATCGCCTGCAGCCCTGCCTCCTTCCCTGCGTGGCTCCAGCCCAGCTCCCTGTGGGCTTGGTGGTCCTGAGCACAGGTGGAGCCCCCCAGGGCCACGCTGCCCCACCATGCATCGCCCCAGCACTCTAGCCGCGCCCCGAGGAGAGGCTGGGGCGCTCGGTCCCCACCACCCCATCACCCTGTCTCTTCTATCTCAGTGTCCTGGCTGTGGTGCCTGGAATAAGCTCCCCTCCGCCGCCCCCCCCCCCCAAAGAACTCCTGTTCATCCTACAAAGTCCAGATGAGCAGGGACCTCACTGTGCTGCCGGCCCAACCTCTGTGAACCAGCTGCGAGCCTCCAAGGGCACTTCCTGGGTGCTCACAGCACGCGGGGCGGGGCGGGGCAGGCGCGTGCCAGGGACCAGGCTGGGCCCCCTGGCGCTCCCGCCTGTGACTGCATTCGCAACTCCCTTCCCCAGGAAGCGGGAGAACAGCCTCCAGGAGGACAGGGGCAGCTTCGTCACCACGCCCACCGCCGAGCTGTCTAGCCAGGAGGAGACGCTGCTGGGCAGCTTCCTGGACTGGAGCCTGGACTACTGCTCGGGCTACGAGGGCGACCAGGAGAGCGAGGGCGAGAAGGAGGGCGACGGTGAGCGGCGGGCGGGCCCGGCCAGGGCTGCGGGAGCTCGTGTCCAGGGAGCCCGGGAGAGCAGAGCACCCGGCACTGCGGCCCACAGGGAGGACAGGCTGTGGCCCAGCTGGACATGTACTGCCAGGAGGGCTGCACGGGGCAGGGGCAGAATAGACCCACCTGCGTTCATGACAAGATCTTTCTAGAACATCCTGTGCCATGTGCCCCCCGCTCTCCTGCTGGGTCCTGTGCCTCGGGCGTCCCTCCAGGCCAGGCCGCAGAAGGCTCTGTCCCCATGTCTGGTCAGCCATCTGCAGACCGGGGGAAGGGAACTCGAGGGCCTGGTTTGAGGCCATGTCTATGGATTTTTCTAGTTGCGTGCTTCTGTGTCCACTCAGGATTAAGTATTAGATGGCCCTCAGTTTCTTGTCCCCTTTTCCTGTTCCCCATGTTACATGGGTGTCATCCCGAGCTTGGAGGACACACCTCGCCCTTGACTTCTTAAGCAAAGGGAAGGGGACTGACCAGCAAGGGTGAGGAGCTGTGGCTGAGACGGGACCCCGGGCTCCCCTGGGTCCTGGCCGGGCGGAGGCTCACCCCGACGTCCCCCGTCCCCCACAGTGACGGCTCCCAGCGGCGTCCTCGATGTCACCGTGGTCTACCTGAGCCCGGAGGAGCACTGCTGTCAGGAGTCCAGCGACGAGGAGGCCTGCCCGGAGGAGGCATGGGGGGCCCAGGACACACAGGTGCTGGCGCCGGGCCGCCAGGCACTGCGGACCCCAGGGCCGGAGCTCCCCCTATGCGGCAGGCAGGGGCTGGGCAAGGACGTCACGACATCGGGGTACTCCTCCGTCAGCAGCGCGAGTCCCACAGACTCCAGGCAGGCCTCAGGGGGGCCCCCCCAGTCTACCTCAGAGCTGCCCACGGGCAGCAGCTTGAACACACAGCCCTGCCACCACCACACCCGGAAGTCATGTTTACAGTGTCGCCCCCCCAGCCCCCCAGAGAGCTGTGTTCCCCAACAGCAGGTGAAGAGGAAAAACCTGTCGGCCCCCAGCGAGGAGGAGGAGGACATGAACTTGGGCTTCTTGAAGCTGTGAGTGTGTCGGAGCGTGTGCCGCAGTGGATGTCCGCTGAGGGGGCGCTGCTGCTGTGCTGGTGTGGGGCGGGGGACGAGATGGATCCCTGCGGATCCCCGCTGGCCTCACACAGGGACCCGAGAGGAGATCTGGGGGCAGGGACTCTTTCTCCAGGGGAGCCCATCATGAGCCGTCAGAATCTCCAAAGCACAACAAAAACTCAGATCCTCCTCTTTGGGAAGTTTAGCCTCGAAGCAGTCACACCATGCCATGTCAGTCCTGTGTCTCTGTCCCCTCCCGTGTCTTGTCTTGCTTCCTCTGGGAAACTCAGCCCACGTCCTGGGTGAACGTTCCCCACCCCCCAGCACCCCAGGAACTGAGCTTTCACAGCTGAGAACGTGTAGCCCCAAGTGTCCAGACACAGGTCCCCGTGCCCCCGTCTGTTTGGTCTGGGGTCCTGGGAGAGCCAACAACCCTGAGCATGTCGCCATCCCTGGGCCCACACTGCCCTGCCCTGGGCACACATTCCTTTCCTCATGGGCTGGTGCCTCCTGCAATGAGAGAGCTCTGCCCCGGCCACCGTGGTGGGCTGTGCATGAACACCAGGCTCGAGGGCCTTGATTCTCGGTCACAGGCTTGCTCCCTCCCATGTTCTCAGCTCCTTTTAAAAATCTGTCCCTTCTCCTGCAGTGGTCCATCTGTGTCCCCAACAGATGGTGACTGCATGACCCTCTCTCTGCACTGAATTGCTTGACCATTTCTTTCCCTGTCTTTATTTCCATCCTTCATCCTTCTAGGATAAAAAAAAAACAGAAGAAAAATTAAAAATAGAAGGTATTACATTTTTTAAAATTTTCAACATTATTTAGGCTCAACTGAAAAATGAAAATTTGATTCAAACTCCTCAGTGCTCTCCTGACACTATATGCAAAATCAGTTTTCCCAGAGAAGTTATCCAGGAAAAAATTAAATGTCATTTGTAACATCTGAGGTGACCAAGACACGGAAAAGCATGAACCAGAGGACTGGCTTGCTGGGTGAGAGTGAACCTGCTGTGACTTCCTGCAAATCATGACCCTGACCGCTCTCCCCTGCTGGGCTGACCCCAACACACTCACCTGCTGTCGCTTTTGCTTCCTCTTGAAATGTCAGAAAGAACCACTTAACCAGGAGTGTCCCCCAAATGCTCTTGAACCAAAACTACAGGGACCAGGAGATGCTCGCCCGGAGAGGCTTTTCTGGGCTCTTGACTCCCTGTGGGAGCTATCTTTTTTGCTGCTGTAGGCGAATTCTGACCACCCTGGGTAGGCCGTGGTTGAGTAAGGGAATCCCAGCATCGGGACTGCAGACCTCCCTTGTCGACTGTGTGCCCCTAGGCATGTGTGAGCCTCAGTTTCCTCATCTGTATGATGGGGTGACAATACCTACCTCACAGGGGTGTTGTGAGGATTAAATGTGATGAGGATAGTAGTAGCTGAGTGATGTGCATGTCTGAACTGCCTTATCCCCTTGGCCCCTTATCAAAACCCAAAAGTTCTCTGCCTTCTCCTGGCCAGCCTGCATCCGCAGAAGGAGAGTGCTCTGGTAGGGACCTAATACCGCCTGACTCGGGGGTGGGGTCTCCCTGTGTCTGCTCCCCTCCCCTCCTTTCTCACTGAGAATCTCATTTCAGGCTCCCCATACTGTGCAAGAAAAGAGGCCGCTGCTGATGTAGGTGCCCACCCTAACGGCAGTCCCAGGGCTGCCTGGGTCCCACTCGACCCTTCCCCCTTTTACCCCAGCACTCTCAGCTCCCCTCCTTTGCATATGTTCTCTGCTGTGGCACCTTCCTATTAGCAACAATGAAACGGACACTCCTCTATCTTTAAACAGACCCCTTCCCAGGTCTGTCCTCCATCCTGCTCTCCCCTGAGATTTCTTGGCCCCTGTGGGATTGGCACTCATCCTTTTTTCTTGTTAGATCCAATTACAATGGACCCTGCTGCCAGCATCACTCCTCTCAGCCAGCATCTGTCCCCACCACTCCCACTCCCAAGTGTCTCCCGCGGACACTCCCTCCTGGGACAGGCTCCTGTGACACCAGGCTCTGCTGTCCCTCCACCACTCGGCTCCAGCTCCCCCTCACCTGGCCCCATCCGGGCACGCCTGCCCTACCGGGGACCAGCCTGCCAGCCCCACTCGTCCTCGTGCCCATCTCTGGCTCCTGGGCCTCCTCCCCCTCTGCTGAGGTGCCCACTCCCAGATGTCATCACCTCGTCAGCGTGTCCACAAGCGCACACTCCCTCCTGCCTTGTCCCTGCTCCCGACACACACGTTATTCGCACCTCCAGCCACAGCAGTAAATACCTATGGGCCCGTCCGCGTTCCCGGCCCCGCGCTAGGTGCCCCAGGGTCAGCAAGGTCCCAGGGTCCTGCTTTAGAGCCCCCTCGATGCAAAGACCTCGATGCAAAGCCGACCGTTAAGGGACCACAGGAGCCTCCACCTACCCCGTTATCCAAAGCAGAACTGCGCGTCTTCGAAGTCCCCCAGCTCGCTCTGCTGCCCCCGGGCGGGGGTCGGAGCCGGTCACTGCTCGGACCGCCGGCCAAGGGGCGAGGCTAGAGGCGGGGTCGTCATCGGGGAAGGCGGGCCCTGACGCTGGGCTCGGGATTGGGCAGCCCGGCAGGAAGGGGCGGTCTTCTAGTCCGGAAGGGGCGGGATCTTCCGACGGCGGCAGATCGCGAAGATCCATATCGTTCGTATGCTGCCTGCGGAGTGCTCGCGCCGGTGGGTCCGGCGCCGCTGGGGGGGCGGGGGCGGGGGCCCGGCCGGGCGCTGAGCCTCCGGTGCTTCCCTCCCAGGCTGGTGGCCGAGCTGCGGGACGCCCTGGACTCCTGCGCCGAGCTACAACGGCAGCTGGAGCAGAGCCTGCGAGTCTCCCGGCGGCTGCTGCGGGCCTGGTACGCGACCCCGGGACCACCCGGCTAGGCAGCCCTCGGGCCGTCAGAACCCTGCTTGGAGCCCCGGGCCGGGAGGCCGGGCTCAGCGCTCACTTCCGAGTTGCGGGCTGCCAGTGCCCCCCGCTTTCCCGAGGCCCTGAGAACGGGGCGCCCGCTCCTAGGCCAGGCGATTATGGGGGTCTGTTGGGCCCTGGCCGTGCCACGGCTGCCCTGTGTCCTTGCAGGGAACCAGCCGAGACCCCGGCTCCGGAGCCAACCCCAGGGCCAGAAATTAATGAAGAGTCGCCGTCTTCAGGTAAACTTTAGTCCCCCACCTTCTGCAGGTGTCGTCCCTGGCCTGTCTTCTGGCTGGCAGTGATCAGGGGCCTCTACCTGACTCTCGGCTTTCACAGCATGCCCACCCAGCCCTCAGGACCTCAAGGAGCTGGAGCTTCTGACCCAGGCACTGGAGAAGGCAGTACGAGTGCGAAAAGGCCTCTCAAAGGCTGGAAAAGGAGTCAAGGCCCACAGCTTAAAGTCTGGGTCCACTTCCCCTGCCACCAGAGCCTCTGCCCCACCCAGCACCTCACACTGCGCTGGCAGCTGTGCACCAGAGACAAAACCCCCCAGGGGCATCCGCCCCCCGTGGGTGCCCGCAAAGGATCTCCCTGGGCGCAGGCTTCTGTTGGTGGGAGATGGCGCCCATATGGGGAAGGGGGCCGGAGCCAACAAGCCTGAAGCAGGCCTCAGGGACCAGCAGATTATCCCCCAGGCTGTTCCTCCAGTTCCAGAAGCCTTTACACTCAAGGATAAGGGGTGAGTTCCCCAAAAGACATTCCCTGGAGGAACTACTGCCTCTGCCTGATCAAATCCTGGGCAGCTGCAGGAGGCTAGGTTTGGAATGACAAGGAGGGCCCAGCAGTGAGTGGGTGTGGGCCCGGGAAGCCCCGGAATGTCACCCCATGAGGCCCCAGCCCGGAAGCTGGTAGGTGGGACTGTTGGCGGTGATGGTGCCATGTTTGATGTGCTGGGGCCTGTCCTGCTCTCCTCCCTGGCTGTTCCTGTGCCCCGTGCACTTACCCACCCAGCCTGGGGGCTCCAGATGCGCTGGAGACGGCCTGGGTTCTGCTCTCCTCTCTGCCAGGCAGACCCCAACTGGGCTGGCTCCCATGGTCACTCTGGAAGCCTGGTCTGAGAGCTGGGAGAGCCTCACCCCTCACTGGGCTCTGAGTGGGGAGTGGGGCCTGCAGCCCCCAGAGTGGGACAGAGCTTCCCTGAGCACCAGCTTCCCAACAGGGCCCTACTGCGGCTGCCAGAGGCCTTCAGGAAGGCGGCTTCCCGGAATGCCCGGTGAGGCTGGTGGGGGCACGGTGGGGGTGCGGGACCCCGGGAGGGGAGGGGGAGCCAGGGGAGTGGTGGTGGGGGTGGTGGGGGCGCGGGGTGGGAGAGCAGGGAGGCGGAGGCTTGGCCTGCAAGCCCCTCTGCTTCCTTTCCTGGGCGGTGACACTCTCACATCAGGAGAGTCCGCCGCCCTAGGACTGCTCTCGTGGACCCAGCTCAGCCTCTCCACTGTGAGACCTTGAGCAGGGCGCCAGGTGGCCCCAGGCCCCAGGCCCCAGGTTGTGGAAGTGTCATAGGGGTTAAGCCAGGTGGTGCTCAGGTGTACCCGCTGTGCCGGGTACGGAGCCAGCGCCCAGAGCTCTAGTTCCCAGTCAGTGCCAGCTTCTCTCCCCTTTTCCCTGGAATTCTCTCCTGGTATTTCCCCAAGTGGGTCGGCTCTGTCCCCCTTCCATGGGCAGTGTCCCCTCAGTTCCCTGGGCCCCTCCCCTGGGCCTCACCTACCTCCCAGGGCCCCACCTACCTCCCAGGGCCCCGGCCCGCTGGCTGGCATCATCACATGTTGCTCTCTGGTTTGCTGGCTGCCCATGTGTGCGTCCAGACTGTGGGCCCAGCTCAGCTCGGTGCAGACCGGGGATTCTGTGGATGCTGCTGCTGCCACCGCCAAAACCCAGTTCCTCCAGAAAATGCAAACAGCCGTATCCTTGTGGGGGTGGGATCCTTGCAGAGGTGCTGGCTCTGAACCTGGTTCAGAGTGTGAGGAGGAGCCGCTCCAGGAAGGGCCAAAGCCACCCTGGGACCCAGCCCTGGGGGAGAGCGGAGGGGCCCGCCTATGGGGGAGTTTCCCTGACCCGTGTGCAGGCAGGCCAGCCCGGCTCCAGGCTCAGCTCGGCAGAGGTGGGGCGCCTGCAGAAGGCCTGCTCACTGCTGAGGCTTCGAATGAGGGAGGAGCTCACAGCAGGTTAGTGGGCCCCGAGTTGGGTCTCCAGTGGGACAGGGAGGGCTTCAGGACCCTCATGGACCTGGCCTGTGTCCCCCCCGGCTCTCGTGTAGACCCCAAGGACTGGATGCAGGAGTACCGCAGCCTGCTCACCCTGGAAGGGCTGCAGGCCCTGGCGGGGCAGTGTCTGCACAGGCTGCAGGAGCTGCACTCAGGTGAGGCCCGCCCACCCGCCCCGCAACGCGAGCTGGACTGTGTGCGTGTGTGCCTGCTAAGTTGGGACCTTATGGACTGACTGTAGCCCGCCAGGCTCCTCTGTCCATGGGATTCTCCAGGCAGGAATACTGGAGTAGGTTGGCACTTCCTCCTCCAGGGGTCTTCCCAACCCAGGGATCTTAACCAAGTCTCCAGTGTCTCCTGCATTGCAGAAGCGTTCTTTAGCTCTGAACGACTGGGGAAACCTGGTCGGTGTCAAAGTCCTCCAGGAACAGGGCAGTGTAGGGACTTGAACAGCACCCCCAGGGGAGTGGAGGCAGGCAGGCACGCCCTTCCCATGTCCCCCACGGGATCCTGAGTGCTCAGTAGCCATGCTGTGGAGCTGGCCAGTGCAGCACCCCCGCTCCAGCCCCTCCTGCCCACACACAGACCCCACCAGTCTAAGTAGCTTGTGCATTTATACACTTAGTGGGAAAGTTTCTTGTAAGAATCAGAGATCTGGCACACACTTGGTGTTGCAAGAAAGAGTTGTTTGTGGAGGGCTTCACCCAGGAGGCAAGGGGGGACTTTACACCCCTAGCTGGAGCCTGGGAAGGAGGGCCCTGGCTGCTGCTCATGGGGCGGTGTCCCCTGTCCTTGCAGCAGTGATGGAACAGCCACAGGGGCCATGGCCTGAGGGGCCCCCCAGGGCCGCCTCACCCTGTGGAGGAGGCGCAGACCCAATGTGGAGCCCCCAGCTGCTTCTATACTCCAGCACCGAGGAGCTGCAGACCCTGGCGGCCCTCAGGCTGCGGATAGCCATGCTGGACCAGCAGGTCCATCTGGAAAAGGTACTTCCAGACTCGGGGGCGTGGGTCACCGTGTGTTCAGGAGGCGTGGGCCATGGGGAGGACTCCAGGCTGAGCCTCTTGATTCAGCCCCCAAGATCCACCAGGGAAGGAGTGGGCGAGGGCACGTGTGAGTGTGCTGGAGCTTTGGAAGGCGGAGGGGGGACTGGAGCGTGGTGCCTCGACTCCTGCCCTAGATTGGGTCCCCCCAAGTGCGCCAGGCCTCCCTGAGCCCTTGGCCCTCATCACCCCCCAGGTCCTGATGGCTGAACTGCTTCCCCTGCTAAGCGAGCAGGAGCCCCTGGGGCGCCCCTGGCTGGCACTGTGCCGGGCTGCGCACTGCCTGCTTTGTGAGGGGGGCCAGCGCTTCCTCACCGTCCTGCGAGATGAGCCTGCTGACCGACTGAGCCCTCCCTGAGGCCAGGCCCACCCCAGCCCCCAAGCCCACAACAAGGCAGGCTGGCTCTGTTCCCCAGCCCGACTGTTGGCAAGACCCCCCCTTCCTAGTAATTAAACGAATGGGCATCAAGGGCATTTTCACTGGTACAGTGAGCGGGGGCCAGAGGAGCCTGTGCCCCCTTGGGAAGCCAGGTTTCCAGCCAGCGGGAACTTCCCCCGGCTCTTCCTGGGGAACTTAGAGCCTTCCTCAGATTTGCTGAACTTGCTGGTCAGGGTTTGGCTTTGCTTGGCCTTCCACCAGCTTGGGAGAAGAGAGGCTGTGGAGACTTTCTGAGCTACCTGCTTTCTCTTGCTGTACACTCACAAGCCGCTGTGTGACACCAAAACTGCTTTAGAAACATGTATTTTTAAATCGTACCAAGGTGGGACTTGGTGCATGTTTGCCTTTGTCTTCATGTTTTTTACTTACAGCACATATCAAGTATATTTACCAAGAACAGGCATGCCCATTTTGTACTGCAGGGAGGGGGCCGGGCCCCTCGAGGTGGGCTGCCCCGGGGCCTCACTGCTTGCTCTAGCCCTTGCACACCTGAAACGTCTCCCCACAAGCACCTGGCTGCGTCCTGGGCTTACCCAAAGAGCAGAGAGCCAGTGTCCCCGCGGGCGGCACTCATGTCCACCCCTGCCCCCTGTGCTGTTGCTCTGGCTGCTCTGGGTCCCCCAGAATGAGTCCCCTTCGGGGAATGGGCCCATCACCCTTCCCTGCTGAAGGAACCACTGTTTCCTGGAAGGCAGGAAAGTCTAGAGAGGTCAAGGCTGCCGCCTCTGGGTTTCCATCGGGACTCGTTCGCTGCTGTGGACACACCAGCATGATTCTTTTTTTTTTTTTTTTCATTTATTTTTATTAGTTGGAGGCTAATTACTTTACATCATTGCAGTGGTTTTTGTCATACAGTGAAATGAATTAGCCATGGATTTACATGTATTCCCCATCCCGGTCCCCCCTCCCACCTCCCTCTCCACCCGATCCCTCTGGGTCTTCCCAGTGCACCAGGCCCGAGCACTTGTCTCATGCACCCAACCTGGGCTGGTGATCTGTTTCACCCTAGATAATATACGTGTTTCGATGACCAGCATGATTCTTGAAGACTGCGTGTTGTCCCCAGGGCCATTCTGGGTGGTGGTTATCACCGCTGGGGTGAAGATGAGGATGGTGTTACAGGCTTCACAGCCCTGGGGCCTGAGGAGGGCTGCCAGGCAGTGGTGTCCCTTCCGTGAGGCTTTAGTGAGCACCTGTGTGAACCAAGCACAAGCCTCAGGGCTGGGCAGTGGCCCTCTGTGTGGACAGTGATGGGCGAGAATAGTAATACCGCTTCTGCTCAGGTGGCCGACAACTGGAGAAGGCCAGGTTTCCTGTGAGCCTGCTGAAGCACTGCAGGTGTGGGAGATGAACTGGATGATGCTGAAGCAGCCTTGGGGTGGCCCCACCCTGCAGGAGACTATTTGTAAAGGGCCCCACTGTTCAATAGGCCAGAAACCTTGGACATAGACTCCCAGGCCTTTGGGGCTGCTGGGGACCAGGTGACAGACCAAAGTAGGAAGGGAAAAATCAGAGGCCCTCACTGCACTGAGGGGCCCCCGGGGAGTGGAGCTCAAGGAGAGGGAGCAAGAGAGAGGGGCCTGGGGCACACCCACCCCCAGAGCTTACTTCCAGGTGCTGAGATCTGGAGGAATCCTGTCTCCAGGGCAAGCTCCACCACCACCAGGGTACCAGCTTCCATAGGAGGTGGTCTCCACCGCAGTTATCTCATCCACTGCTTCACTTCTTTACTGTGCACCTTACCCATTGGCAGGGGGGTGCTACCCCTCCGTCTCTAGCGGAGCCCAGATGGTTATTGACTCAGTGACCCACCTGTCCAGGGCCAGCCCTGCGGGCCGCTGTGGGCACCTGAGCCTTCACGGGCAGGGTGGTTCCAGCAGATAACTGGGGGGGGGGGGGGGGGGAGCGGTCTGGGTGGGCCCCAACACAAGGCCCCCCAGAACCGGAATGGCAGACCCGCTCCGGGTCAGCGCCCGCCCACCCCATTCCACACCCCCGCCTGGAGGCGGCAGCGAAGACCTCCTGGCCCCTGCTGGCGTCACCGCCTCGCCGGCCAATCCGCTCCGAGGTGGCGGGGCGAGTGGGGCTGCAGGGAGCGCCCATATTCACCCGGAGTGCAGCCTCCGCATCGCAGGCATGAGCGCGGCCGAGCCCCCGCTCGCGGCCGAGGCTCTCGAGCCCCCCGGGGCTCTCCGCGCGCTGCTCTTGGCCACCGGCGGCGCGGGGGGCTCCTGGCCGCGCTGCGTCCTGCCGTTCGGCGCCGTAGCTCTGCTGGCGGGCGCCGCCGCCACGGCCATCACCTTCTCGCTGCGCGGACCCCGCCTGGACCTGGCCCAGGGCTCGGCGCTGGCGGCGCTCGGCGCGGGCCTCGGGCTCCTGTCCGCAGCCTTCCTGTGCTGGCGCGCGCGGCGGCGGCGGCGGCAGAGGGCCGGGCGCGGGGGGCGGCGAGAGCCGGGGACGCCCTGAGCCCGCGCGCCAAGCCGCGTCCCCTGCGAGATCATGGCCAGCTGGCGCCTCCTCCCTGCCGACCTCGCCTGGGCCCGGCTGGCGCAGTGCCGCGCGCGTCGCGGAAGCCTCCTCGCCAGACGCCGTCCCCAAAGCGTTCCGTTCTGACCCCTCAGGAGGCCCGAACTGTGGGGGCTTCGAGCCACTTCCCTCCCCTCCCCCGACTCGGCTCTGCTCCTCTCGCACCCGCCTCCGCCCAGGGCTGCTTTTCAGCGTCTCGCTTGGCGCGCAGAGCGGGCCTGGCCGCGGTCGGCGCGGCCCGCGGGGCGCAAGGCGGCGTCGGTCGGGGACTCGGCGTGGCTACCCACCTCCGAGCGAGGCACAGTGTGCTGTGTCCCCCTCCCCTAGCTGTCTTTCTTCCCCGCTGGTGTGGAAGCCCCTCGGGGTAAAATAAGCGCTCAATAAATGTTTGCGCTATAAATGAACAAGTGGTGGCTTGCAAGCGTCTGGTGGGACCGTAGGCAGTGAGTTAAGTGGGGAATATTTGATCAGTTGGCCTTTTAAGGGAAAAACCCCAGCCCCTTGAGGCCTTTCGGGACCCCAGATGGGTACCCAAAGCTCACAGCTAGGGGCTGCCCCTCTGTGTGAGGGCAGGGGTGGGAGGGCTGCAGGTGGGGGCAGAGGCCGGGCCTCTTCTAAGGTGGCAGGTTGGGGGCAGGGCCAGCAGAGAGGCGCAGAGCGTGAGAGGCCCCAGTCTGGGACGGACAGATGGCTGAGTCCACAAGGAGCGCTGATGCTGGCTGGAGGGCTGTGGGGAAGGCCCTCCCTAGCTCCCCTCACGCCATCTGCCGGGGCCGCCCCAGGGCCAGGAGAGAATGAATACCTCCTGGGAAGAGCCAGCCCCACAACCTCCTCCCTGGGGGGCTAATGGCGCAGTGACCTTCTGGCAGGAGGCCCTTCCTGCTGACCCCGTGAACACTCTTCAGGCTGTGCCCTGGGGGTCTCCAGCCACACCAGAGGCCACCAGCTGTTCTGCCAACCCTACTCCCACCTCACCGGGAGGCTGTGCAGCACACGAAGCCTGCAGGGCTGGGCGAGGGGAGCTGCTCCCCACTTTCCTCCTTCCAGGCAGGAGTCCTGAAGTTCAGACAGCCAGGCTTTCCCTGGAGGCTTGTCTCAGGCCCCCGGGAAGCACTGTCTTGGGCCTAGGCCTTTCTCCCCACCGTGGCTAGCTCTGTGCTTGTAACAGTCCCCGCAGGATCAATCCCCACACAACCCCAATCCCCACACAACCCCAATCCCCACACAACCCCAACTCCCACCAGGGCCCCCCATCCCAGATGGGTTTGGGGTGATGATCAGAAGAACCTTGAAGAGAATGGTTGGGAAGGCGCTCCTTCTGCACCCAACCCATCCCAGAGCAGAACCGTGCGCCGTGCCAGCTCTCTCATTCGTGCCTCGCTGTTGTAAGGGGCATGTTCTTTATTGGGAAGTTGAGGGACGACCCCAGTGCCAGTGTCATTGCTCCCCACCCCCACATTTGAGCTGCTCAGGCCTGGTAGAGGACCCCACCAGAGAGTGTCAGTCACCGCAGGTGGCCCAGCGTCCTGTCTTCCTGCTGCTCCTTCTCGAAGGTGCATCCTTCAGTATCCGTAACACAGGATTCTGCTTCTGTCCATCCTCTTCTGTCCTTGCAGTGTCTCTGGCCCAGCTGAGGGTGGCAGCCCCGCCTCACAGACACACCCCGAGCTGTCGCCACTGACAGCTGGCCTGGCCTGGGGTCAGCCTCCCATGTGGAACTTCAGGCCTCAGAGATGCTCCCCGGCAGACATATTCCAGTGTTCCTGCCCCCTCCGCGGGGGGCTGCCCCTTCCTGGGTCGCTTTGCCCTGACTCAGGTCTGTTGAGGTCCTGTGAGGCTCAGGAAATCCCAACAGCAAAGGGGAAATAATAGGCATCTGGCTGATGAGGAAATTGAGGCTTGGGCAGGTTGAGGACTGGAAACCACACAACTAGAAACTGGAGCAGTGTGGATTCGAAATCAGACCTGGCCCCAATCCTGAATTCTTTCTGCTGGAGCAGACTGCTGCTTCGGGGACACCCCACAACTACCAGCCCAGCCTGGCTCCCTTTGCCCTAAGTGTGCCCTGTAGGCACCCAGGCAAGCATCCCGGACCCAGTCTTCAGCTCCAGGGCCCTGTGTGCCCCAGGGGCCCGAGGGAGGAGGCGCCGGACCCCCGCCCAGCACGTGGCACAACCCCAGGAGCAGTCAGAGCCTGGCTGCGGGCCGGGGGCCGGCTGGGTGGTCCCCCACGGGCTGCGTGGCGGGGCCACCCGCTCCAGCCCCCTCCCGCCAGCACATTCCTGGCTCCGCGGCCCCTCCCCCGGCTCCAGGGCCTCCCAGCCCCCTCCCCCGCTGGCCCGGCCAGCGTCTGAATCTGCTTCTGATTCCGGCTCTGCCGACGCGGCCCCCTCCTCTCCCCTCCCTCCTTCCCGGCCGAGCAGCCCCGCCCCCGGCTGGGCCCAGGCTGGAGCCCGCTGCGCCCCCCACCCCCTCTTGGCACAGCTCGCCCGCCCTCGCTGCAGCCGGGAGGAGGCGGCGGCCCGGGCGCCCCAGGCCCCGCCCGCCCTCGGCCCGTCCCGGGAGGCCGGGAGACCTGCTCGACCCGGCCCTCGGTGGGTGAGTGGGAGCGGCGGGCGGCGGGTGGGGCCTCTGCGGGCGGAGGCGCCGAGGGCGGGGGCGACGCCTGTCAACGCTCCAGGCCCCGCGGGAGGACGCGCGGGCGTCCCCGCTGCTCCGCTCGGCCCGGAGCGTGCCCGCAGCGGCGCCCACCTCTGGGCCCCGATTGGGGCCGCCCGGGGGCTCTGGTGGCTCGGCATCCCGGGCCAGCGGGCAGAGCCTCGGACCGGGCTCTATCTCTCCCGAGGGCAGCGACGTGGGGCCCCGGCCGGCCGGCTGACCCCCGGCGGCTCCGGTCATGCTGGGCTGGCCCTGGGGGCTGCTGCTGACCGCGGGCACGCTCTCGGCCGCGCTGAGCCCAGGGCCGCCGGCGCCCGCCGACCCCTGCCATGACGACGGGGGCGCGCCCCGCGGCTGCGTGCCGGGCCTGGTGAACGCGGCCTTGGGCCGCGAGGTGCTGGCCTCCAGCACGTGCGGGCGGCCGGCCACGCGGGCCTGCGACGCTTCGGACCCGCGGCGGGCACACCCCGCCGCCCTCCTGACCTCTGCAGGCGGCACCGCCAATCCAGTGTGCTGGCGCTCGGACTCGCTGACGCAGGTGCCCCACAACGTGACCCTCACAGTGCCCCTTGGCAAGGCTTTTGAGCTGGTGTTCGTGAGCCTGCGCTTCTGCTCGGCACCCCCCACCTCCCTGGCCCTGCTCAAGTCGCAGGACCACGGCCGCAGCTGGACCCCACTCGGCTTCTTCTCCTCCCACTGTGGCCTGGACTTCGGCCGCCTGTCTGCCCCTGCCGATGGCCCAGCTGGCCCGGGGCCCGAAGCCCTGTGCTTCCCTGCGCCCCAGGCCCAGCCTGATGGTGGTGGCCTGCTGGCCTTCAGCGTGCAGGACGGCAGCCCGCCAGGCCTGGATCTGGACAGCAGCCCGGTGCTCCAAGACTGGGTGACCGCCACGGACATTCAAGTAGTGCTCACAAGGCCTGCCGTGCTGGGAGACACCAGGGGCTCCGCCGCCACGGCCCCTTACTCTTACTCAGCCACTGAGCTCCAGGTGGGCGGGCGCTGCAAGTGCAATGGGCACGCGTCCAGGTGCCTGCTGGACCCCCAGGGCCACCTGACCTGCGACTGCCGGCACGGCACTGAGGGCCCGGACTGCAGCCGCTGCAAGCCCTTCTACTGCGACAGGCCGTGGCAGCGGGCCACCACCCGGGAAGCCCATGCCTGCCTTGGTGAGGCCTTGGTTGGAGGGTGGCCTGGGGATCTGAAACCCGGCCGGCCTATCCCTGACCCACCCTTCCCCGCAGCTTGCTCCTGCAATGGCCATGCTCGCCGCTGCCGCTTCAACATGGAGCTGTACCGACTGTCTGGCCGCCGCAGTGGCGGTGTCTGCCTCAACTGCCGGCACAATACCGCGGGCCGGCACTGCCACTACTGCCGGGAGGGCTTTTACCGAGACCCTGGCCGTGCCCTGAGTGACCGCCGTGCCTGTAGGGGTGAGCCTTCAACCAGCCAACTACACGCCTCACCCTCCCAGGGTTTCCCCAACCCCAGATGGGCTTCTGACCATCCCACTTCTGTCCTCAGCCTGTGACTGTCACCCTGTTGGTGCTGCTGGCAAAACCTGCAACCAGACCACCGGCCAGTGTCCCTGCAAGGATGGTGTCACTGGCCTCACCTGCAACCGCTGTGCCCCTGGCTTCCAGCAGAGCCGCTCTCCGGTGGCACCCTGCGTTAGTGAGTGACGGTGCCCTGCTTGGACCACCTCGGCAGAGGTCACCTCAGCTCCGAGCTGCTGCCTACCTGGGCCCCGCAGATCCCTGGCTCCCCTCAACTGTCCCCTGAGCCCTGCAGATCCCCTGGCCCCCCTCAAATGCAGTGTATTATCCTGTCCTCCCCACAGAGACGCCTGTCCCTGGACCCGCTGAGGAGAGCAGTCCTGTGGAGCCCCAGGGTGAGCAGAGGTCCCAGAGGGGCATGTCCTTGGGGGGAAGGGGCGGTGGTTTCCCGAAGGGCCCGAGGAGAGAGTGGGAGGAGGAGGGAAGGAGATGGGGATCTGTGCCAACTTCCTCTTGCGCCCTCCTCCCAGACTGCGACTTGCACTGCAAACCCGCCCGTGGCAGCTACCGCATCAGCCTGAAGAAGTTCTGCAGGAAGGACTACGGTAGGCCGCGCTCTGGCCTCCCACCCTCGGGCTTCCTGCCCGACCCCCGCCCCTCCTCACCTTGCCCTTCCTACTCTCCCTCTGGAGGTCCTGACCCTCGCTGGACCCTAAGGCCATTCCCCCGGTCCCTCAGCTCCTCCGCGATCGCTGGCCCCGCCCTGCCAGCCCCAGGGGCCTCTCGGTGCTCCCGCTGCGGCGTGTCCGCTTTGTGTCCCGCCTCCGCGCCCCCCACCCGCACGCACCCTTACCCGCACCCTGGCTGGCGCTCTGTGCGCCTCGGCTCCGGCCCCCTCCAGGCCCCGCCCCGCCTGACCCCGCCCCTCTCACCTCCCCCGCAGCGGTGCAGGTGGCGGTGGGCGCGCGCGGCGAGGCGCGTGGCTCCTGGACGCGCTTCCCGGTGGCCGTGCTCGCCGTGTTCCGGAGCGGCGAGGAGCGCGCCCGGCGCGGGAGCAGCGCGCTGTGGGTGCCGGCGCGGGACGCTGCCTGCGGCTGCCCCCGCCTACTGCCGGGCCGCCGCTACCTGCTGCTGGGGGGCGGGCCGGGGGCCGCGGTCGGGGACCCCGGGGGCCGGGGTCCGGGGCTCAGCGCCGCCCGCGGGAGCCTCGTGTTGCCCTGGCGGGATGCGTGGACGAGACGCCTTCGAAGGCTGCAGCGGCGCGAGCGGCGGGGGCGCTGTGGGGCTGCCTGAGCCCGCGGGCCGGGCGGGGGCCGGGCGGGGCGCTCCCCACTCATCAAGGCTCACCTTCGTCCAGTGCATCCGCCTGACGAGAAGTCTTTGATCGCGTCGCGCGCGCCGCCCCTCTGGGCCCCCGCCCCGCGCCTCCCCCGGTGCCCCGAGCGCCTGTCCAGGAGGGGTGAGCGACGCAGCGACACCCACGCCCCAACACGGAGGGGTGTGGTAGCCCCGAAAAGCGGTTTCGAGCCCTCCTTGGGCAGTTGTCATCCAAAGGACCCCATGGCCCCCCACCTTCGAGCTATCTACCTCCTCCAGGGGGGCAACACGATGCCCCAGAGTGCTGTGAACCCCCTGCGAACACCGCAGGGGCCTCAGTGACACACACCCCCAGCCCCGCGGGTCATGGTTCCTCAGCGTTCCCGCGTCCCTGAGGCACTGACACCGCCCCCCCAAAGTTATGCACCCCCTTCTGATGCCAGGACCCATAGAGCTCTGAGAGCACCCGAAGGACCGCCGAGACGCCACCTCCTCGGACTCTGATTTCCCGGAGAGCGCCCCGACGCCCCGAGAGACGGTGCGGCCGCCAGAGACGCGCTGGGCGACGCGGGTTGCCCGTCCTCGTCAGGACCGGCGGGGGGCGCCATGACTCCTCCCCCAGCGGCTGAGGCGGCGGCGGCGGCGGCCTCGGGCTCCCGTCACTCCTGCCGGCGGGGCGTCCGCGTCCCTGTCCGCGGTGACTCTGTTCGGCCTTTTCTGGCCCATTGTGTCCGTGTCTCTTGTCCCCGTCCGGCTGTCTCTCTCGACCCGGGTCTCCCGGCTCCTTCCCTCAGGGCTCGCCCAGAGGCTCCCCCCCGCGCCTCCCCGTCCCCCCCCAACCTCCCCGGCAGCCCGGACGTCTTGCCCACAAACGGGCGCGCGTTCGCAGGCCAGCCCGGCGCGACCGCTACCCCGGCGGGCACCACCCCTGCCCCGGACTCCCGATGCCCCCCGCCTTGCCGGCGCCTGGGCGCGGCGGACAGCCACTGCCGCGCGCGCACGCCCTCGCCTCGCGCCGGGCCGGGTACGGAGCCGGCGCATGCTCCGGCCGCCCGGCCCGGGGTGTCAGCGCGCATGCCCGGAGCCGCGGCCTCGGAGCCCCGCGGGCGCCGCGGGTGGGCAGCCGGCGCCGAGGCTCTGCGGGGGCGGGGCCGCGCGCGCGCGTGCGCAGACGCGCCGGCGCCGGGGCGCGCGGCGAGCTGAAGAGAAAGCGGCGCGGCGGGCGGAGGTGGGCTCGCGTCCGGCGCCGCAGGAGGTTAGGTAGGTCCGCGGCGGGGCCGGCCGGCTGGCGGGTGGGCGCGGAGGGCGCGGGGGCCGTGGGGGTGGGGGACCGGCTGTCACCGCGGCTCAGGCGTGCTGACCGAGGGGTGCGCGGGGGCCGGCCGCGGCGCGGGTTGGGGGTCCGGGGCCCGCGGCCGGCGCTGCCCACTGCCCCCAGCGCTGCGCCGCGGCCCGAGCGCCCGGCGGGGCGCGACGTGGGGCCAGAGCCGGCCTGGGCCCCGTGCGGGACCCCCATCCCGGGGGTCGCGCGGGCGCCTCTCGCCAGGCGCTGGCGGTCCGGCGAGCGGCTCCGGCGAGGGGGGCGGTGGGAATGAGCTGGCTCTGGGGTACTCCTTCCTCCGGCGCTTTCGGGCTCTGCGGGGTGGGAAATCCTCTTATGGATTCGAAACTGCAACACATTCTATGATAACGCTCTGTCTTGGAAGACCTGCAAACTGCTCCCGTCCCGACCCTCCGCTTGCCCCAGGTTGGCACCCCGCCCGCCTGCCGCCTAGGTATCTACGCAGCCTCTGAGCCCTGCCTCGCGGGTCTGGGGTGACTTGTACCCTCGGGTGGCCGCCGGGCTGTGCCGGGGACAAAAGCGTTTATTTCCACAGGGCCCCTGGGCCCTGTACTCCTCAGCCTTGAGAAAGCACAGCTGGAGGTCAGGGATGGGCCTGGAGAGGTCAAGGTCCTCTCCCAGGAAGGGTGTTGGTGGCCTGGTGGCCTTACTCGGTAGGGGACACTTGCTCAGTAGGGAGCACTGGGCCTCCTGGATCACCGCCTGCTGCGTTGACATTAAAGGCCAGAGGCAGTGTGAGCACCCGCTGGGCTAGATGAAGGCGTGGGTTGACTGTTAGGATAGCGGTGTGCCTGGGAGGCACAGTCCCCACCTCACGTGGCTGCTGCTGTGATGCTGATCTTGAGATCTTTGGCCAGCTGCTTATTCGTAGTGAAGAGTCTTGTCTGCCTTTCCAGGGCCAGTAGAAGCACTTGCAAGTGATTTTTCTTATTTCTCTGTATGTTTGCTCTGACATCAGCAGGAACTTGTAGACAATTACAGGAGGGGAAAAAAATTCCATTATTTGACAGAAATAGTGGTTTCCCCTACTTAAATGTGGGGGCTCCCCTCCATCTTCTTGCCACAGCACATAGCAGCCACCTCTGAACATTTACCTAATTGTCTTGAAGATAGGTGTGTTGGTTCTTTTCTTTTTAAGGGATCCAGGCTGGAAGAAACAAACCAAGGTAAGAAAAGATCAAGAAATCTCACAAAGGTATTACAGTTACCATTTCTGAACAGTGCTATAACCTCCCGCATGTGCTTTCTTTATCCTGAAGGTTGTTCCTCATTTAATCTTCTCAGCTCTTAGCTAAAGCCTGTAGGAGCAGTGCTTATTCAGGATCCAGTGCTTTGTTTAGAAACTAGTCTCTCCCTGTGAACAGAGCTGGGCCAAGTCACAGTCCTCTCTGCTCCTTCATTGCGTCACAGAGAATGGTGAAATGAACTCGGTGCTGGAACGAGTGCAGTAGTTTTCATCTGGGTGAACGGTGACCTTCGGGGCATGTAGAAGTAATCTAGTTATTTAGGCCGGCTTTTCATAATGAGGACAGAATTCACCTCCTGGATTTGCAAGTTCACCTGCAGGTGAGCTGTGCTAGCTGTCAGTGACCACGCCTGCCAGGACTGTCCAGCCGGCCAAGTGACCTTGGGCACACCATGTTGCTCCCAAGTCTCGTTGCAGTCTGAGCCGATCTCAGAAGATATATTTAAGTGTTTGCTTTTAGATGGTTTCTGGCTTGACGTACATAAGGACAATAAGCAGGTTATAAAAAAGCACTTAACATTGACCCTGTTCAATGTTTTACCTGTTTGAGCATACCTTCTCTGTTATGACAACTCTGTGCAGGGAAGAAAGAAAGCCTTTTTAACTCAAAGCAGCAGTTTCAGTGGCTGTTTCAAGTGTCACTTTCCAAATGGAGATAATATCAAAGAAGCAGTACCTTGGGCTTTTCACTAAAGACCAACCTAAATTCATTATTTGACGATTTTCATTGTTCTTTCAACACAAATTTGTCCAAGTCATACTTCACGTGATGAGGACTTGTGCCCCGTGCTCTGCAGCTCCAGAGTTGAGTGAGCCTGTGCCCTTGAGATTGGGGTGCAGTGAGGAGACAGGTCAGTGAACTGTGGTGCAGCGGGCGGCACTCCCCCTGAGGTGGGCTGAGCTTGCTGTGGGCACGGGGTGGAGTCCAGCTGGCCTTTGGTGGTGGCTCCTGAGAAGCACTTAAATTAAATTTTGAACATCAGGGGATTCCCTGGCTGTCCAGTGGTTAGGACTCTGGGTTCTCACTGTCAAGGGCACGGGTTCAGTCCCTGGTCAGGGAACTAAGATCCTACAAGTCATGTGGTATAGCAAAAAAAAAAAAAAAATTTTTTTTTTTTTAAAGAACAGCCACGTGAGGGAGCGCCTTCTTGGCTAAGGGACAGTGTGTGAAGTACCAGGGCAGTCTCCCGGCTGTTGGAAAAAGGGCAGTGGGTAGCACTGGTATTTGGGGTGAGGAAAGGGAGATGGAGTTAGGGAGCCAAGCTGCTGGCTGTCAGGAGAGCCATGAGTACCAGTCCCCAATTTGCATTTTGCCCTGAGAGCAGTGGGGAGCCACTCAGGGATCTTGGGTTTGTGAGTGACTGGTTAGATTGTGCCCTCATGGGTGTCTTGGGGTGGGTTGGTGCGAGGCTACAGTGGGTCGGGGTGGTTAACATAACACCAGAAGGCCCAGCACCAAGGAAGGGCAGTGGGAACAAAAGAAAGAGCAAGACCACATGACGGGGGGCCGCGGGGACGGGAAGGCCCAGGGATGGAGGAGGACTTCGGGAACGCTCTGCAGCCGGGTGACTTGGCAGGCCCGGCTACACTGTGTGCTGGAAGGGACAGGCCTGGAGTGGGTGACGGCGGGTGGTGTGGAGAGGCTGAGCTGAGAGTCCTCAACAGCTCCTCGGTAGAGACTGCTCTGGAGCCGTGAGCGCTCCTTCCTGCGTGGGCACTGAAGCCAGGGTGTGGGGTGTGCCTTCCCAGGAGTGTGTGTGGGGTGAGAGAAAGAAGACTGACCCTGGAGAGGCCTGATGCTTCACGTCCGTAGGACAGAGTAGATAAGGTAACAAAAATCTGATTGATTACCTCCTGCCTTTTGAGGGGATGGGGGCAAGATAGTGGGCTTCTTGTATCTGTCACAGAGCCTCAGGTTGTTGGTTAAACAGCAGAATGTAAGATACCAAAAGTGCAAAATCACAGAATTGATTCCCCGGGCCTTCCTGTCAAATGTGTTTGTTTGCCTTTCGAGAAAGTTCCAGATTGTCACTCAGCTCAAAGGACCTCATTCTCCTCCAGCCTGAGGGTTGGTCCTTTCAGCAAGTTCTCATCACTAGATATCTGGAAAGAGACCTCCTCAGATCCAGAGAGGGATCCAAGAACTCTCTGGGTCCTCTTGCTCTCCTCCCGGCACCCATTTCTGTGTAGTGCCTCAGTGTTAGAGTTGATGGGACTTTGGAAGGACTGTTGAGGATACAGAGGCCAAGTGTGTAGTGCTTCCTCCCAAGCTTGTCCCCACACTGAGGGGCCGCCAGGAGAGAGTAAGGAAAGGCTGGCGTTGCACCAGGAGCTCCTCTGCCCACAGGAGGCGCAGGGCCCCACAGGGCTGTCTGGTCTCTGGATGAGTGCTATTAACAGTGACCTTCGCCTCTTATGGAACCTGCTCACAGAGGGGCACAGGAGACAAGCTCTCCTTCTGCCCTGTGCAGTCCCGGTCCCCTGCCTGGCTCTTGGACCTTAGCCGTTTCCCCTGGATATTGCCCACGGAGCTGCTGGCAGGGGTCACGTGTGAGCAGTCATGCTTTCTTCCTCCAGCCTGCCCAGGCTGCACTCTCCTCTTACAGGCCATTGAGAAGCCACTACACATGGCTTGGCCTGTTTCACATAACCTGAAACTGTGTGTCCACCTAATCGTTACACAATTTTAATTGGATACCAGTTGTTTGCTGGTGGGTGATTCTGTTACCAATAAAAGCCCTTTCGCTGCATAGCATTCTAAATGAAGCTCAGTTACCTGAGTCCCACCAAGAGCTCTCCTGGCTTCTGTCCCTTCAGCCTTCCCTTGAATTCGTTTGTCCTCATTCCTTGATTACCCTCTGTAATTCCTTTCTTAGCAGGCATGGTTCCCGCCTTCCTGTCTTCCTAAACTTGTGGGCCTTAGAGGGAGCCATAGGTGTGTGTTCACTACACCTGCCTCTGGTTTCTTTCCCTGCCTCCCTGGGTCGTCTCCTCCCCTACCTCCCAGCATACAGGCGCGCACTCCTTTCTCAGTAGCCCGGTGAAGCCAGGCCCTGTGGCTTCTTGGAGCCAATGAAGCTGGACTGTAGAAGTGTCTTTGAATATGAGCCATGAATGACACTCACTGGCCCCAAGCAGCTGTGCTCTCCAGGGCTGCTTCTGCTGCTTCCTGGGTGCAGGCCGCCTCAGCCTTCAGGATCTAGGCCAGGTGGGTGCTGGCGGGGCAAGGCTTCCAGGCCCCTCTTTCCTCATGGGCTGGGGGCCCAGACACCCTGTGCTTCTTCCTCGCAGCATCCGCACCTGAGTTGGTAGGGTCAGTACACCATGTCCCCACATCCTGAAGCTCGCTGAGCAATGGGGTGGCCTTGCATCCTCGTGTTCCAGCACTCAGCACAGTGGCATTCAGAAAGCGTCTCGAATGCCTGTTGAAATGATTCAGCCTGCAAGATTCCCTCTCAGCCCACTCTGCAGTCATGCCTGAAGATGCTTGCCGAGAGCCTGCTGTGTGCCCAGCCTTCTGAGGCACGCCTGTCACCGGCGCCTTGCTTGGAATTCAGACCAGTCAGGATTCTAGCTTCTGACAGCTGGGCTTCCTCCTTCTGGTTCTCATTCCCT